CTCTAGAGGATCCCTCATTGCGACGTCTACGAGGGCAAGATTGCGCTGCTGACGATAGTCCTCGCGCCGGGGATCGGAGCACGGCACGAGCAGGCAAACGAAGACGAGTACGCATCCGTGCCCTTCTAGATGTACACTTCGCTCGCGTTCATTCCACGCCGCCGCAACGGGTCCTGCGGCGCCGCTCCGAGCCCCGAGAGCGAGCGCTCCGCACGAAGATGGTACTCGGCGCCGTCGGCGCGCGCCGCGCGGCTCACTAGGGGTGACCCCAACTCAAGCTTGGGGGGGATTGGACCGAGATCGTGGAGCTTGCCAAGCGGCTTCAAGCGCCCCCGAAGAGAACGTGCCTCTCCAAGTTCGCTTACGTCGGCCCTCGAGGCCTCAGCGCGCAGGCGGAGCCCCGGCCAATTCGGAGAGCGCGATGCGCCGAGTCCCAGAGCTGTGAGTCTGCGCCCTCCGCCGCCGCCAGCGCAATGGTCTGCGCCCTGCGCCGCCGCCAGCGCCACGGCAAGGCCGCGAAAGACAGACCACCGACGCAGACGGAACAGCTCGACGGCACGTTCTCCTGGGACTACGCCGCGTCGCGCCGCCGCCTAGCGAACGACGAGGACCTCCGACTGGGCCTCAACTGCTGCGCCGTCTGCGCCGGCGCGCCGCTGCTGTCCTGCGACGCCTGCGGCCGCATCGTCTACTGCTCGGCGCGGTGCCGCGCGCTCGACGGCCGCGCGCACCGACGGGCGTGCGGAACGCTGCGAACGGTGCCGCCGGAGCGGCTGGAGGACATGGGCGTCGAGGAGGACGTCGACGAGGCCGCCGCGGATCTCGGCGACGTCGCGACGCTCCCGACGAACCTGATACATTGGCGCGACCCAACCGCCGCGCTCGCGATGTCCTTCCCGCTGTCCGCGGCGTGGGCGGCGGCGGAGTTTCCCCGCGTCGCGAGAGCCCCGCGGACGAAGCGCCTCACGATCCACGTGCTCGGCGCCGCCCCGCCGGAGTGCGCGGCGCCGCCCCAGTGGTGGGCCGCCGCGCTGGGACGACCGGTCACCGTCGTGCTCGTGGGACCGCAGGCGACCGCGCGGCCCGACCGCG